TAGCCTCGGTGTCATCTCTAAATATCAACCCAATGAAGACGTGAATGCCAAAGTTTCTTCTAAATCTCTCATTTGTCACTACCAGGAGCCACTTCCTTTTTTTTTACTTTCATTGCTTACATTTTCAATCTTTTAATGAGTTATTTTTGTACTAACTTGAAACTTGGTTCAGAACTGTCCCCACATCATTTCACATTCCCCCTCCACTGAAAACATATTTCTTTCTCCCTTTGGTGAACCTCCCAGGCAAAGCAAAATGTCTATCTAGAGGAATTTAATTAGAGGTTTATTGATTTTCTTCACATGGGTCCACTGTCCTTTTGTATTTGGGTTGTTTGTAAGCATGCAAACTTGTACTTAAGTGTTTACAGGCACGGATTATATAAACAATTATTGTAGAGTCAAGAAAACATATAATCACAAAATGAGTTGCTTGTAGATATATTTAAAAATATATCTGACTTTCTCTTGGAAAAAGAAAAGGGGTGAAGAAATGGGAAGACAGCCTACAGCCTCTATGTATATTATATAAACTTGAAACTAATCTAATTCATTCAACCATCCACCCATCTTTCTCCCAAGCAGAAAACATTGATGTTTGTAGTATAATGGCAACATCTGTTGATATTGAAAATGATTTGAACTTCAGTACTATAACCCTTAGCGTTGCCATATAACTTCAATTTTTGACTAAGCCAGCACATATACTCCAAACATTAATATACAAAATATGAAAGGCCAAATGGACTGCATATTTTATAGAGTTATCACAGGTCTCCAGAATGATTTCCTCAAGTTCCTTGTAGATTGTTCTAACATCACCCTAATGTATCCTTGTGGAGCTGCTAACATTTTCCTGACTTTAAGCCTGATTTTCCCTTAGGAAAAAGGCAAAGCAAGGTTCGCAGAAATTGATGACTGCAGAGCATTTACCAAAGTACACTTTTTCTCTCTTCTGAACAGCCAAGGTTCCATTGGAAATGTGATTTGCAATCAAACTTTGAAATATGTTACTGGAAGATATCATTAAAACTTTCACAGACACAAAAAGGACATATATGGTATGATTTCATTTACATGAGGTACCAAGAGTAGTCAAAGTCAAAAGACAGATATTAGAATGGTAGCTGCCAGGGGTTAGGGAAAGAGGAAATGGGGAATTTGTGTTTAATTTGTACAGAGTTTTAGTTTGGGAAGGTGAAAAATTTCTGGAGATGAGTGGTGGTGATGGTGACACAAAAATGTGCATGTACTTAATGCCACAGAACTGTGCTCTTGAAAATGGTTAAGATGATAAATTTTAGATTATCTATTATTTGCCATAACTAAAGAAAAAAACAAAAAGCTTTCAAAATATTCTGGAAAACTGCCTCCCCTTTATTTTTCAGTTCTAGGATATCTGTAACAGTGTAAATCTAGGATGCTGATTTAATTGGTTGGTCAGGCTGTAAAATAATTAACATTCCAGATGTTCAAGTTGAAGTTTGGTGGGATTCCTTAAGCAAAAAATAGAAATTACATTTAGATTTTGAGTATCCTAATACTATCTTAAGAACTGAGAAAATCTAAGCAAACACAACACATCTTGACATAAAGGAGTCCTATCTCTAGAGTAGCACTGTCCCATAGAAATACAATGTCAGTCACATATGCAATTTTAAACTTTTTAGTAGCCACATCTAAAAAAATATTTGTACCTCGTAATATTTTCAAATTAAAAAAAAAATCCTAAACCCCCCCCTCGCCTAAGTATTTGAATTGATTCAGGGCAGGCATTTTCTGAGTGGGGACATTTTAAAAAAGAGTGATATTTCTCTATAAATCAGGCTATTTCCCACCTGTGTTATATCTTTCCCAAACAGTTTAAGAGGTTTTTTTTTTTTTCTTTTAATGGAGGAAGGAATGTTTAGAATTGCAAAATCCCATTAGGTAAAAAATTATTGAAAATAAGAAAATTGTGGACTAACAATATAAAAATATTTTATACCACTGAAAGCAGATAAAGTTACTCTTGTTACTGATTAGAAAAAGGAATACATGAAATTAATTTTAATAATACATTTCACTTAATCATGTTGATAATATATCCCAATATTATCATATCAACATACGATATAAGAATCATTAATTACGTATATTAGATTTTTTCATATTTTAGATTTTTTCATACTAATCTAATTAAATATTTTAGATTTTTAAAACTTCTTTGAAATTTGGTGTGTATTTTACAGTTATTAGTAAAAGCACATCTCATAGGGCAGAGGGGAAGCTCATTGGTGGGGCAATGAGCTGAGAGCATACATTTCAATTTGTATATTCTATTTGCATTGGAAATTCTTGCTCTGTATTTACATTTTATAAAATTTACAGCTGAAAAATAGATTTACATACCCAAGTTGTTCCAAACATACCCTAAAGGTTTTCGATAACTGCCTTTAATATGAAAAAATATTTCCTTTAATATTTGCATCCATATTGATAAAACTGGTTCATTTCTTTTAGCAGAATTGATTTGACTTTGAAATGAAAGCATATTAGTTCCAGATCTGTGTGTCCAAATTAAATAAATTCACCACTCTTGTGTTGATTCAGGATTCACATCGAAACCAAATGGGTATAACATAAACTGAAAAGCAACTCTAAATTTTTTCCAATACCAACAAAATATTCCTCAAATTTTTCTTACAGTCTTTACAGCAATTTATATAAGGCTAGCAATTACAATATATATTCTATTAATTGATTCAAGTTAGAAAATGTGTAAAATTATCATTAATTTGTATTATGAGAAGTTTACATTTTAACATAAATTCTCATATTTGTATAGCTGGGTCACAAGCCTTTTTGAAGCTTCAAAATTAGCTGGTTTATATGTAGTGTGATATTGATGAAAAACATAAGTCATCCTGCTATATTTTGTTTGTGATTATTGAATATTTGGCAAGTATTCATTTTGTTTCAAGAAAATCTTGGATTAGAGTTAAATCTTTGTAAAGCTCTTCCATGACTCAACCAATGAGTATTGGCAAAATACATCAGATCATTAAAATGATCATTGTTTTTTATTCTCATCAACAAGTCTACAAACTGGCAATGATTCCTAGCATTGGCACATTATTAAATGATTTTAACAATTGCTCCCACAACTTTTTTCATAGAGTCTGCTATAAGAAAATGGAACACAAATATTTTCAATAATGAATCTTATAGTAGAGCAAAGCAATAAAGATATCATCCATCTATTGCTTTAAAGTTGCATTAATTTTGAGTTTTTGACCTAATGTACCTGGAATACTACCCATCAAGATAGAAACTGATTTTTCATATCTGACATTTTTGTCTGACAGATATAAAAAGTTGAAAAGTATCTATACAAGTTTGATATTTTTTGTTTGATTGACATTTCTTAGTAAATTTGAAAGTCCTTTAAGAAAAAATATACCAAGAGTATAGTAATTGGTCAGTCTATCTTATATCTTACAACTCATCTAAAGCTAAAATAGTTACAATTTTTTTGTATTTTGAATCATTTGATCTTTGATATCATTAGAAAAGTCTTGCCTTCTATGGCCAATTGTTTGGGCTTAGTTGAAGATTTTTTTTTTTTTTTTGAGTTTTTATGTGTGTCTTTACCCTTTATTTTCATAATGGCTTTTATAATGGGTTTTAATTTCAATTTTCATAATGGGTTTTAATTTCTTTATCATCCCTCTATCTAAGAAATGGCCTTTTTTTGTTTTGTTTTGTACAAATTCAAGCTGTTTATAGCTGCCCAAAATTATAATCCTGTTAAAAATCCTTTTTATATTTGTTTGTTGGACATTTAATTTGGATTTTAGATGACTAATTTCATTGATCCCCTTTTGACCTTTGAAAGGAAACTTATTACCAATATTATTGAACAACATTTTATAATGGACTTTATGGCAGAATGAACATATAAGTAATAGATTCAAACATTCTTAACTCTGAATCACGGACAGTGGCAGCTGAGGGCTCATAATGAGTGGATTCTAAAAGCTAAATTCAGGCCGGGCACAGTGGCTCACGCCTGTAATCCCAGCACTCTGGGAGGCCCAGGTGGGCGGATTGGTCGAGGTCAGGATTTCGAAACCAGCCTGAGCAAGAGCAAGACCCTGTCTCTACTATAAATAGAAAGAAATTAATTGGCCAACTAATACATATAGAAAAAATTAGCCGGGCATGGTGGCTCATGCCTGTAGTCCCAGCTACTCAGGAGGCTGAGGCAGGAGGATCGCTTGAGCCCAGGAGTTTGAGGTTGCTGTGAGCGAGGCTGACACCACAGCACTCACTCTAGCCTGGGCAACAAAGTGAGACTCTGTCTCAAAAAAAAAGTAAATAAAAAAAAAATAAATAAAAGCTAAATTCAGTCTTTGTGATAAAAGTTCCTGCTTTAATCAACCTTGACTGTCTTAGGCATGGAGTAGGGATGGTAGCTAATATATCATAGCTAATAGATCATTAACTAATATATCAATATATTTTAGAATAATCACCCATCTGAGATTGAGAAGACTAACTGCTTACTATATGTGACCTTATGTAGATTACTTATATTCTCTGTGTCTGAAATTATGGACTATAACCATTAAACAAGGAACTAAAATAGCCTATGACCCACCTTTAATTACTGTCTTTCTCCCTCCCAGTCTCTGTCTTTCTCTATTTGCTGCAAATACCTTTATCCACTAAATGCCTTTTTCTGCTTTTTCAAATATTCTGCCGCTTTATAACATGGCTCCTGTTTGCTGTGGCACCAATTCTATCCTGCAGCATCTTTGTGGTACCCTTTCAGCTCTTTCTACCAATTCCCACTGGCTCAGGCTCTCTGTGTTTCCAAGAGAGCAATGATGTGACCAGCCAGCTCAGCTTTTTGCATACGTAGCAAGCCACTGGCCAGCCTATTGGGCCAGATATCCACCCCTGAGCCAATCAGGTGTGGAAGCAAGATCACGTGGCAGAAACACGGTCACGTGGGCTGTTGCCGCTCTACCTAGAATGGCTCCCCTTAGAGATGTGGGCAAGAAGGAAGGAATTAGTCGATATCTGAAATACCAGAGATTGGCATAGAAAATCACTCCACATGTGTCAACCAAACCATTTGAAAGACTTAGAAGGTCTTTTTGAGGAAGCAGAGTGATTTGTGAAGAGGAATTCTTTATCCTGATATAAGGAAAGCAGAAAATAAGGACTACAATATTATCAGTGCCTCTGGATTTGATCTCTTCCTTCTGCCATTTTTCATCCATGACACCACTGAACACACGACCTTCACCTTTCTCTTCCTGTACAGACTCCCTTTCTGACAATAATCTTCTAGCTGGCTTCCCTGCAGCCAACTCTCCCTCTTCTAATTTGGTCCATGCACAGGGAGAGTATATTATTTTACTTAAATGTGATGCTTGAGCCCGTACTTCCACCTCCTAGAACTGAGTTATGACTTCTAATTAATTCCACGTGACAAGTAAATATTGAACATACTGTGCAAGATGCTTGGAGAATAAAAACGTGAACAAGATACCTATCCTGCCCTTCGGAAATGTACAGTCTAAAAGGAGTTTATGAGTTATAACCAACTCTCTGTAATATAAAGGAGAACACAGTGTCCTAAGAGAGGTATAGATTTTTTAACCCTTCTCGATTTCTTGATTCTACTCAGGATTTAATTTTTTAAATACCCCAGAATTTTACAAAAACTGGAGTTTCTTTGCATACAAACTTATTTATTTAACCCTTCTCAATTTCTTTATTCTACTCAGGATTTAATTTTTTAAACACCCCAGAATTTTACAAAAACTGGAGTTTCTTTGCATACAAACTTATTTGGATTTTTTTTATATTTCAAATTATTGATGCATTCAAAGAGTAATTTTAATCCCTATAATTTTTCATGGTGTGAGCTGCTACCGATGCCAACCGTGTCGAGTCAAACTCGACATCCGAGTGCAAAGGGTTAAAGCATTTAAAAGGAGGATAAAAGCAGTGTTGTTCTACTAAATATTTAACACCTGGCTCTGGGATGTGGGGTGGAAGTGATTTGTAGTGATTGCTGATTTCCATAATGTAAACGTTCCCCTAATGGCTAATTCCAAGTTACCAATATAACTTCACTGAACCCAGAGTTGGGAAGAGAAAAGTAGCAGCCCACCATTATAAAGTATTTCTACCATGCAGATAGGCTCCCCCTGAATAATCTCAAAAACACAGAAAGTAGTAAAATAATTAGGATGTATATTATCACTTTTGTTTTTAATATAAGTCACTAAATTCTAATTTGATATAACTTGATTTTTAGTGATGCTATGTGGAACAACTAGGCTTAGAAAATTCCTGAAAACTTAACAATTGCGACCCTGCAGCAGGTACAAGGAGTGCACTGCTGGACAGACAGCTATGAAAATTGGGATTCTAAATCGGGGGAGGAACAGATCTCAAGGAGAGGCCCATTGGGTTCTGGAGTTGAGCCATGAAGCGTATGTAGGATTTGGCCTCTGGATATTGGGGAAGCATATTTTGAGAGAAAAATCGGGAAGGGTCTCTGAGGACAGAAAGCTTGGGGCCTGAATGGAAGTAATCAGTCGATTGTTTGTTTACATGTGAATCCGTCTACTGGCCTCATGCAGCACTAGCTGGCATCTCCAGACACACCCATTTTGAACCAGTGACAATGATGACAACAATAATAATAAGGACGGCTAATAATTGCTGGATGATTGCTTGGGGCCAGGTACTGTTCTAACCGAGGAACCTGTGTCATCCCTTGCATGGACCTTCCCAGTTCCTTGTTTGCCGTGTCACTGAGCAGCCGCTGCTCCGTCTCTGGGTGTGGCCACTCCTCCCTGGGCTCCCACAGCGACTACCACTCACCACTGTTCCCACGCTACAGAGCAAGCTGCCATTTGTCACCAAGCTTGCAAAAGCACCTTACGCAGAGTGAAGAACTACTTCTCTGTATCCATGATTCGGACGTGTGAAAACAAAGTGCAGACGACTATATCTTTCAAGCAAGGTGGGCAAGGGTATTGTCTTTGTAGAAGTAAAGGACACTTTTCTGTGTTTAATGTGGAAATACCTGGCCAGCTCCATTAATTTATATTCTGTTGGTCCCTGTAGGCATTTGAGTTTGGGGGTCCCAATTCTGTAGGCAAGACAGTCCCCATCGACAAATGAAGAGATAGAAGGCAGGGAGTTCTCTTGTCAAAGACTTGCTACACATAGAAAATCATACCTCTAACCCTTGCTAGGGAGGGGCAGATAAAAAAATGTAACCAAAATGTTTGTACCCTCATAGTACCCTGAAATAAAAAAATAAATAAATAAATAAATAAAAATAAATAAATAAATAAACTTAAAAAATATTAAAAAGAAAAGAAAATCTTCAGATTTAAAAAGTATCTGACCATTTCTTTAAAAAGTCAGCTTGATACTTATCAAAATAGCCATGAGACTGGCTCCCTGTACGTGAGTTCTGAGCAGTTAGGATTAAGGGAAGGGAAAGAGACCTAGTTTTGTTCCTTCTCTACCAGTTTCTCATATACCTTGTCTCTTTGGAAGCAATCCTGTTTTCTCACGATTTCAGGTTAAGAAAGTATAGGAGTATCTCACTGTATTGTCACTCAGATTCCAAGCCTGATGGGAAATTGAAAAAAAAAAAAAAAAAGTGAAAACCGAAACTAAGATGAATGATATTCCAAATTCTGCAAGACTAGTAATTCTATTTTTATTTGGAGATCCATTTAGTTGGTAAAATTCACCTGTTCTCAACTTGGAAGAAAAGTTTGCTTAACAAGAAGCAATTTCTATGGCTCCCGTTTGAAATTTACTTTTTTTTTTTTTTTCTTTTTCACTTTGTTGCCCAGGCTAGAGTGAGTGCCGTGGCATCAGCCTGGCTCACAGCAACCTCAATCTCCGGGACTCAGCGATCCTACTGCCTCAGCCTCCCGAGTAGCTGGGACTACAGGCATGCGCCACCATGCCCGGCTAATTTTTTTTTTTTTTTTTTGTATATATATTTTTAGTTGGTCAATTAATTTATTTCTATTTTTGGTAGAGACAGGGTCTCGCTCAGGCTGGTTTCGAACTCCTGACCTTGAGCAATCCACCCACCTCGGCCTCCCAAAGTGCTAGGATTACAGGCGTGAGCCACCACGCCCGGCCTGAAATTTACTTTTAAGAATAGAGGAAATAGACAATTGGAAGGGAAGCAAGAGCACACATGAGGACTGCTTAATTCTTGTAAGGATTATATATGGTGCTCCTCACAGGAGCCCTGTTAATTGAGACACTATAGCTAGGAACACTCCAGGGAAACACACAACTCCTTAATCACAACGATAAAAAGCCTACATGTGCTCATGTGTAAGGAAGGGGAATTAAACAAATGATGGTTTATTTTCTTACAATTTGTCGTTTGGCTTGCTTCTAGAAAACACTCAAAAGGCGAATATTCTTTCCCTTCTCCAATGAGACATACTGATTACATCAACATTATTTTCACGTGAAAGATGAGCCCAGTTGCTTGTTGAAGGGGAACAAAAGGTATATGGCTTTAGAATAACCACCCCCAGCCACCCCTGCCAATAAACAAGTTTAGCGAACTCAATTTTCCCTAATTTATAGGCAGCCTGTTTAAATTATTGTTACTTGGCCAGGACCATTTCACAGGGGTTTAATTGTGCTTGTAAATCGTGTTTCTTTCAGATCCGTCTCTTTATTCACTTTATTTCCTTCCCCCACGTCTCATTTTGCATATGCTCCAAAACATATCAATAATTTATGCCACAAAGCCTTGTTTTCTCTTTTGTAATTGGGCACATGTTCTGCATTATGTAGTGATGTCAAAGGAAATGTGTACATTGAGAAAAGGTCTTGAATTTTTCATGAAAAGCTGGTGAGGGCCAAATGGCATTTTGCAGATCTTTGGGAGAAGAACAAATCTATTTTTTTTTTTTTTTTTTGCAAAGGGTTTTAGAACCAAATGAAAGCAACAATAATCCCAGCACTAACAAAGATAAAATTTGTTGAGCATATTTTTTTAATCATTAATAAATTTAAGCATTTATACACACTATCCAATCCTCACAACCATATTGCAAAGAAGGTCTTATTATGTCCATTTTATAGACCAGGAGACCGAGGCTCAGTCATAAGAAGTCACTTGCTCAACATTACACAGTTAGGAGGTGACAGTAAAGGCCTTGAACTCAGACCTTTGGAAATTCAAAACCCGAGTAGTCTTCTTATGAAATCACTTAAGTAGCTTTCTCATATTTTGGCCACATCAATTGGAACAAACTGTTTTTATTTTTGTTCTAGGTCTAGAACTAGAGCCCCCACTCTTCTTTATTTTTAAATTAAAAAGTAAATATTTTTTGCTTTGTGTGTCCTCCTTCATTTTGGATGGTTTTCAACTGACCACCAAATTAAGTGAATAAAACCTGAGATCTGATGGAATTTACAGGAGAGAAAGGAAGGGAAAGAGAGGAAGTAGAGAAAGACTCTTCTTAAGACATTCCTGAGCTGATATTAAGTTGATGCAGAACACTCACTATTTATTGAACTCCAATTAAATACTAGTTCAGAGGTCAGCAGACTGTGGCCCATGGACCAAATATGTTCCACCTCGTGTCTTTGTAAATAAAGTTTTATTGGAACACAGCTGTGCCCATTCATTACATATGGTCTATGGTTGCTTTTGCCCTACAACAACACTGGGCAACACTATATTTCCTGCAAAGATGAAAATATTTACTAGCTGGCCCTTTATAGAAGATGTTTGTTGATCCATTATCCTAGATAATGACCAAAACAGATGTGTAGCTTCTACTGTTACTAAATTTACAATCTTGTGAGACAGACATTAATCAAATAATCACTATATTATTAAAAACTGATACATGATCTAAAATTAAGTATAGAATGGGCAATGAATTTTGCTGTGCTCATCACTTGCCACTGGTTCTTGGAATTTAATCAGCTAGGCCTTATTCTTTTATATTAAAAAGTACTTCTTGCTTGGGATGAGAAAAATTTCATTCATTCATTTACTCATCCAGTCAAATTCAACAAATATATATTGAGCACCTATTATGCGTTGGAACTAAATTAGGCTTTGAGGATACAAAAGTGAACAAAAAAGTTGGTAGTTGGTCTCCCATCTGTTGAATCTTTGGCCTTTTTTTTCAATTGGTTCAGAACCCAAGAGATGAAGAATTCTAATTATTGGGCCTCATTGAACTCCCAACAGAGTCCATTGTAAGGTCTACTTCTTTCTTACCCTTGTATTCTCTGAAACGGTCTTGTGTTCTAACACTATCCTCCTAATTTTTAATTAAAACTAGTCTGAGTGGGTTTCTGTTATCCAGAACTCCCCAAAACTTAGAGCTGTGAGACGAAATCAGCTAAGTGAGCATTTGGCTTTGCAGAGTTTACGGTGAGAGGAAGCAATGGAACAAGGTGTTGAGAAGGACATGTGGCCGACCATGTCTGTCCCAATTCTGTTCCTGGCTTCCTCCTCTTCCTTCCCTAGATGTCCTTCTTTTTGATCTCATCTTTGAGGACTTCAACAACACCACACCTCCAGTGGATTCTGGCTATAGCTGTATCTCCATTCCTCATTTCCAGTTACTGCTGCTCAAGTGTACTTGAATGTCCTATTGGCACCTGCTAATAGGTCCCTAATAGAACAAGACATCAACTCTTTCCACTCCTCTCCACGTAGTCCTCTTCTCGACTACACCCTTGGAGATAAACATGGATAATAGAGACAGCTGAAACTACAAGTACATGTCACACCCGAGTTGGGAAACAGCTGCAGGGTGAGGTGGCGACCACACTGTTAGGGACATCCAGGTGAATTCTGTCTCCCTGTCCTGAGTCTCTCTCAGTTTATAATCTTGAAGACATGCCTTTCCTATCCCTCCTAACTCTAATCTCTGTCTCTCCTCAACTTCGACTGGGTTCTCTGATTCTCAGAATGGAGTTCCTGAAATTGATTTTGTATTTTCTGGTTCTATGTCATCCTTGACCTTGAGCTGTGTACCTGTCCTTTGCCTGGTAAGACCACCACGCAATGAACACTTATTGAATACTGTTTCACATACATTATCTAGTATAGTCCTTAAAGCAATACTGTGAGAAGGGTGGTATTATTGTAAGTATTGTTATTATAATCTATTTTCCAGATGAGGAGACTGGACACCAACAGGCTTAAGTATCACAGATGTCTGTTGTTGGAACTCAGATTCCAACCAGGTTTGTTTGGTTCCAAAGCACTACCCCAATTTCTTTTTCCAATAACTGGAAGGTGATTTCTGTTCCTTTCATTCCTAATTGTACTACTTTGGGTACCCTGCTCTTATAACTTGCTTTAATATCTGTATTAGGAGTCAGCAAACTTTTTCTGTAAATGGCCAGGTAGTAAATATTTCTGGTTTCTCAGGATATATGGTCTCTGTCCCAACTGTTCAGCTCTGCCATTATAGTGTGAAACTGACCATAAACAATACATAAGTGATGGGGCCAGCTATGTTCCAATAACATTTTTTTATTTTATTTACAGACACTGTGTGAAATGTGAGTTGCGTATAATTTTCACATGTCACTAATTACTCTTATTCTGTTGTATTTTTTTCCAACCATTAAAAAATGGAAAACCACTCCCAGCTCACCAAACTAGGCAAAATTAGGCAGGGGGCCAGAGTTTGCTAACTCCTGTTCTATACCATGTTATTTGACTTTGGGTTTATAATTCTGAAAGACTGAGCCACTTGCTACCGTTAATGGTGTGCTTGCTGTGTGTCAACGTTCTAAGCATTGTTGTGTATGTGTTACACATTGTTACATACATATGGGGGAGGTAATGGTACCATTTTCCATTTTACGGATGAAGAAAATGAGCACAGAGAGGTGAACTACTTGTCAAGGTTGTACTCAGCTAGGAAATGGTACAGTCTAGATTAGAACCCAGTCTGTATATTAAGCACAAAGTTATCCTGCCTCTCTGGTTCCTATGAGATAATGTACATTAAGGTGTTTTGAAAACTATAAAGGGTTATGTAAATATAAGTTAATAACTATCATAATTATTCATGTTACATCTTCATCCAGGTTTCTGAAGGGATTGGATTGCAATCAAATTGATGTTAATCAAAATAAAAACACTCAGGCATGCCGTGGGATGGAATCTATTTTTTTCTGTCCATCTTAGTGTTAAACATTTTCAGGCATTGGATTTCATCTCAAATAAGCAATGGAGGAGCCTTCTTCTTATACCTAGCTTTGCTGTTTGCTCCCATCTCTCCCCCGAACTTGGCATTATGCCCCAGTCCTGATTAAAACCAAAATGAAGCTGCAGATAGAAAAGAAGTTGCATATCAATAAGGCTTGTGATTAAGTTTTTGTCAATTTTTTTTTTCTCACTCTTTCATTTCTTTCGGTTCTTAAATTAGATAGCAGCAGAGACATGACTTAATTATTGAGACTACTTTGGAGCCAAATGGAAAATTATACTACTACTTACTCAGATGCCAGGGTAATTAGAGCCCAATTATTTCTCTCATTTGGCACTAATGAATGAAGACAAATTAAAAATAATGTAACTGTGAATTGCTTTTATTGAGCAGAGAACTTTAGGCAGCTGAAATCATCTACTCTTCACTAATGGAAATACTACGTGGAGGTAACTCGAATGTGATTGTCTCCATGTAATTTTAGAGTAGTTTGATTTTTTAAAATCATGCAGATGGCCAAAGCTTTGTGTACAAATCATTTCCTGGGTATAGCAGCTGCTCTCTCTTTCATAAGGAGAGTCAAAACATGGCTCAAGAAATTCCTACTTCCCTGGCGATAACATCAGATTTGCTGGCAGGACTTTATTTTTGCTTCTGGGCTGGCCTGCTTGGCTAGATGGAATGTCTGATTTGCTTGGCTATTTCACTTTTCCCTGATTGGAATATCCATTTCATCCAATGTATTTCAGAACAACATTGATTTTACTGTAAAAATCTGATTGAAAGAGATGTCTTCTTGATTAACATTTTGGATTCAGTTTATGTGGACAGGGACTTACCTGTTCAAAGATAGCCTGGAGTTCAGAGTTTGCCTGTTAAACATCTGGTTCAACTGCAACGACTAAAAAACACTCTACACTATTTTATTTATCTAGTATATATATTTTTTGAGGGGGTGATGGAAGAATTGCAATTCTTTAGGCTTGTTTATAGTCTGAATAATCATTCCCATGTAGTTCTTAGACCTTCATCCAGGAATAAAGTAACTGAGCTGTTTTAACAATCGAGTTTACTTATATAAAGGCAACTAGTCAACCCTTTACCCGATTCTAGCCACGCCACTTTTCACACTCTCTAATGAACTTTGCAATTCATGAGCAATATTTACTTCTATTATTTCCTTACACCTTAAACAACTCAGGAATAAATAAGGCAGGTTTTATCCCTTATTTAAAAATGAACAAAAGGCCGGGTGCAGTGGCTCATGCCTGTAATCCTAGCACTCTGGGAGGCCGAGGCGGGGATCAC